AGGAGGTAGAAATTTTGAGTCTCTGGTTTTTAAAAGTATTTGTTTTTACTAGTACATGCTTATGAGATTTGGTACATTTACACATGATATTTCTTAATTATTTTTTTAAACTTTCCCCTCCCTCCTCCCCCTCCTTGTATCTCTTGGATCCTTTCATTCTCGAGGTACACCCATTTTCCTACAAATGACTCGTTTATCCTCTTTATGGCATAGTAGTAGTATACTATTGTATATAAATACCTTATTTTCTTTATCCATTCATGTGTTGATGGACATGTAGGTTGCTCTTAAGGTTTAGCTGTTATGACAAGTCTCTGTTTTTGAAAGGGCTTTGGTTTGAAGAATACACTTAGACCCTCAGTATCCCCCTTCTGAGACTAACCCAAAGTGCTGCCTCTGGTTTCTGTAGGTCACAAGGGGAGGGAAGTCATTCAGAGTTATGGTGGCTTTTCTGTGGGGCTGGAGCAATGTGCCTCCTGTGGAAGGCCTGTGTGGGAAAGGCTACCTGAAACAACTCAGGTCCTGTGTCACCTCTGGGTCCTTGTATCCCTGCTATGGTCCCATGGTGGATAGCAGGCACCTGCATCTCTTGCCTCCTTCAAACACCTGGCCAAAAAACAGCAGAATTGAGCATCCCACTCTGTACTCAAAGTGGTCTTCACTACTGGCCAGCTTCCTTTGAGTTGTCTCTTGCCACTGTGTGGGCACTTCCAGACAGACGTGGCAATTCTTTTGTGTTAGTGGATGGACACAGCATTTTTAGATAGTGGGAGAACAGCAGTTCTTTCTAGCAGGCATTTCCATTCCTGCAGACAAAGACAGGGTAGCCGAATTGGGACTGTACATTCTCTGATGGAAAGGAAACTTGGAGAAAAGAAATTTAGCTGGCAATAGGGGCTAACTGCAAACTACAGCTGACTGCCTCTTACCTCCCGTCCTTTCCCTCTGCAAACCTGCCTTGGGATGAAGGATGCAGCTGGGGCATCTTTGTCTTCTTGGAGTGAACATTCTGCAGCAGAGTGGAAGGTGTGTGTTGGTGGGGGTCATAGCAATATGATTTTATAAAGAAATGACAGATATGCATCACTTGTCATTGTTATAGTGATGAGGTGATTTACCCCATATTGATATATGACAGTCCCTCAATGAAGGGATTTAGGGGCCTTGTGGGATTGCCAGGTGGAGTGGTCGAGTGGGGAACTGGGGAGATAACAGCAGGCCCCTTGGCAGGATTGTAGGGAGGGAAAGAGCCACTGAAATGTGCCATTAAGTGGGTCCTGGTACTGGGCCCTTTGGGTTGTGGACTGGGAACAGTCTGCTTGTTCTCTGTGGGAGGTACTGAAGGATGCTTAAGGTGCTAAAGGCTTCTAGCTATGGCTTCACCTGAACGTGCTTTCTACCCCAGACCTGGGGGGGCCTCTCCTCTTGCATAGTGACTGTCCCCTCTCACTCTGTGGCCCTGAAGCTGCACAGTGAGTCTGTGAGGTTCCTTTTGTCTAGCTGTAGGCACCAGGTCAGACCTCCAGTGTTGCCTTTAGGACAATGATGGCGAACCTTTTAGAGCTTTCAACAACAAACCAGCTGTGGTTGGGTGCCATAGGTTTGCCACCTCTGCTCTAGAAGGTCCTCCAGGGCCCCCACCTCTTACCCTATGGGGCCTACTCGGTAAGTCCTGTGTCTCCTTCTCCCCTTGGCCTATCTGGCCCACTTCACTCCTTCCTACCATCCAGTGGATCCAGTCATTGACTGTATTGTAACCTTTGTAACCCATGTCTCTGAATGGAGTTTCCCTAACGTGACTGGGGCAGAGTTACTTACGCTGGGGAGAAAGACCCAGCTCAGATCATTCATTGCCTGTGAGCAGAAAGTGCATGAATAGGAGTGGTCTACATTTTCTTCCCCACTTCCTGACATGACCTTGGTAAATGATTTTTTAAAGCAGCTTTATTGAGACAAAATGCATTTTATATAAGTGACCCATTTAAAAATCCACAATATAGTGATTTTTTAATATGCTCCCAAAGAAGGGCCAGGGATTTAGCTCAGTGGTTCCGGCACCTGCCTAGCAAGCTCAAGGTCCAAAGTTCAATCCTTGGTACCCCCCCAAATTGTGCATATACATATACATACACACACACACACACAAATATATGTATGTGTGTGTGTATTCCCAAAGACGTACAGCCAATAACAGTTATTTTTAGAACATTCCATAATCTCCAAAAGAAACCCTGTATCTTTAACTATCACCCCCAGACCCCTCAACTCAAGGCAACCACTATGCTACTGGATTTGCTTTTGATTCATGGACCTCCCCAGCCATCTCCTCCTCCCAGAGTCCTTACTTCTTATCCTACCTTCCATTCACCTGAGCTGTCACTCATATCCCTTTATTGTGATGTGTATTAGGGTCTATTATTGATGTTGCTGACAGGGAACCTAGTGTGCAGCACTTAGGGCCTTGCCATGTACACACTAGGCACAGGCAGTCATTAATTGAGTGAATAATAATGCCAGAAGAGGACATGGCTGGGCCGAGAGTATGGCCTAGAGTTTGAGGGAACTTGGGCCAGTCCCTTAGCTCTCTACTATCCCATTTGGATAGAGGCCAGGTATATGTAAGCAGAGGCCAGGAAAGTGCTACATTGTCAAACTAGGTAAAGATGGAGAGACGCTTTCTGATCTATCCTCTGACCCTTGCAGGTGGTGGGGGCTGTGGGCTGGCTGAGGGTCCACATGGGATCACTGGATCTGAGATACGCACAAGGAGTTGTAAGGCCATCTCCAACTTTTCCAGGCCACAAGTGGAACTCAGTGGGGTCATTTAGGGCATATATCTGCAGTGCGCAAGGAGTGAACAGGCTTGCCCGCCCGGGGTCTAGCTGGACACCACTAATATTCTCAGAAAAAAAAAATCTCTGCCCCCTTTTGCTCTTGCCTTCCCAGTGGAGTTTCATTCTATGATTTCAGCCCTCCTGTGCCCTGTCTAATCTCCAGCCCTCTGTCAGTACCCACTCCTGTATTTCATCAAAGCAAATCTCATTCTTCCCACAGTCCACCTGTTTCCTCAGAAGTAAGGGATTCTTTGAATGGCAAAAAGTAGAATAATGCTTAAAATTGATTATAGTTTTATAGGCCAGACATTGTGCACAGCCCCGCTTACCCTGTCTGCTAATAGGAAAAGTTGGTGCTCCTAGGGGCCTCAAGAACCCTGCAGAAAGAAGACAAGAAAAGAGTGTTGTTGGTCCAGCCCAGAGGCTGTGTCTTCAGCAAGAAACCTGCCCTGTCTTAGTTACAGATTCCATAGCGGAAAGAGGTGTTGTGAAAGGGCCTCCCAGTTTGATGAGTTAAATAAATACCATATTAAGAGGACCCATGAACTGGGGATGTAGCTCATTGGCACCGCGTCTGCCTGGCAAGTACAAGGCCCTAAGTTTGATTTCCTGGTACCAAAAAAAAAAAAAGACCCCTAAGGCTTAACCAGAGACCTTTTGGATAAACAAGTTGTGGCTTCCACTTTTCTTTTGTGTTGCTGCCCTCCAAAAAGGGTGGTAGGTACACTGGCCTGATTGTACTTTTTCCATCCCCTTTTTGCCAATTTATGTGGTTGGAAAGGGAGATGGAAGTCTCAGTGTCAGTCCTGTTCTTATTCATGTTGAGCTCTCACTGCCAGGGCCTTATGAAGTAGGGACTCTGTGGACAGTAGAAATATAATAGTGCTCAACATTTATTGAGGTTTTCTAGGCCAGACACTGTGCTCAGTGGGGTTTTTTTTCCTTATACAGTTTTTATTGAGATACAATTCACATACCATAAAATTTATACTTTTAAAATACATAGTTCAGTGGATTTTTTCAATATTCACAGTGTAGTATAACCGTCTCCACTCTTTGCAGAATGTTTTTATCACCCCCAAAAGAAACTCCATACTTGTTGATAGACACTCTTCACCCCATCCCCCGTTCCTGGGAACTACTGGTGTGCTTCCTGATTTGTGGTTTTGCCTCTTCTAGATATTTTATGCAAATGGAATTCTGCAGTATGAGGGCCTTTTTTCTTGTTTTTTCAATTAGCTAATGCTTTCAAGGTTCACGCACATTATAGTATGCATTAGTAACCTCATTCCTTTTTATGGTTAAATAATGTTCCATATAATGGATAGACCACATCTTGTTCATCCATTTATCAACTGTTGATGGACGTTTAGGTTGTTACCATCTTTTAGTGGTTGTGAACAATGCTATTAAGAACAGTTGGGTACAAGTTTTTATTTGAGCACCTGTTTTTGGTTTTCTTGAATAAATACATTTAAAAGTGCAATTGTAAGGGTTAATGGTAATTGTACATTTAAAGAACTGTTAGGCTGTTTTTCAGAATCCATCATTTTACCTTCTTGTGCAGGTTTTTATTGGCATTTCATTTTATCGGTCCTCACATGCATTTGATGAGATGTAGATGGAACTGTCAACATGCCTGCGTTTCAAATGAAAGAGTTGAAGCTCAGAGGGTTTCTTGCCCTTGGCTGCGCAGCTGGTCACTGATGCGTCTTTGGCAGCTATGAGCTTTGATCAGTAACACAGTGTCTTTCCCAGGCCCTGATTGCATTTTTAGGATGAGGACTTTGGGTTGTGTCTTTCGTATTATGTTCCTGGTGCCCAGCACACGCTAGCACTCAACATTCATTGGCTATAATGTTATTTTCCCCCGATCTTGGTGTGTTAATCAGGAATGGGAGGGAAGTAGCCTATGTCTTTAGGATTCCTGTTGGTGGGTTTCAGACTTACAGGGTTTTATGTTCCTTTCTGCACCAGAAACTGAAGTCCCACCCCCAAAAAAAAAACCTTTTCAACCCCAGCATTGTACTCTCAAGTATCTACCTTGGAGACTGAGCCTATAGCTGGGGAGTGGGAGGCAGGTAACTTCTTACTTGTCCACTTGACTTGTTTTCTCTTACTCTGGTCCAAGGCCACTAATGACCTCCTCTGCCTTTTCTCCTCTAGGCCAAACCCATTTATGGTGGCTGGCTGCTCCTGGCTCCAGATGGGACTGACTTTGACAACCCAGTACACCGGTCTCGGGTAAGGAGTGAATCCTCAAGGCAAGAGGAACCAGACAGAGAATTTGCCCATCTGAGGGCAAATTGATATCCTGGGTGAGGGAAGTAGGAGTTGAACAATAGACCCAAATGGCAGGAATCAGCCGAGAACCCTTCCTCCCCAGTTTGTCAAACTCAGGTCTCACAGAAAAAGTCTCAATTATACAGAGTCTTCCCCTCAAAATAAGTTGCTTTCATGTGGGTGTTGCCTGTTTTGTGGGTCATCTTGATTCTGAAAACAGTTAAATGGAAGAGGCAAAAGAGCAGTGGAGCCCACTTTTGCATTATGCTAATTTTGGCTTCTAGTTCCTTCAGTGCCAAAGCCCTGCCTCCTACAGTTCTCACCCAAGCCAAAGGCTCACACTTGAGCACTCATGAAAGGATGAAGGGCTGGAAGCCTGGGCTCAGCTCCTGCTAAACATTTCATTGTCCCTCTCTATTGGGTACCCTGGCCAAGGTGGTTCCCTACTGGAGCAGTGAGATGGTTAAATGAGCATTGACCCTGACCAGTGACTTGTTCCTCTGCCAGCAAGCCCATTTGGATTTGACTTCAGTTAAAAAAATTGTCCTAACTTTTTCACTCATTCTCTAATAGGTGTGAATTGCTCCAGCTCTGCTCCCTTCCCATCTGGTATCCCTGGAACTCCTTCCCCTTCCTCCTCCTATCTGCTACTCAACCCTATCTGGGGTGCTCAGGGCTGTGTATTCTGGCACCACAGACCTTGCATTATGTCTCTGGTCTTTGGACTTCCTTCGGAAGTGGGTTCAGATTTCAAAAACAGAGTATAGATAGGACTTTGGAAATGCTTCTGGGAAATATGTCCAGATAGCCTCCTCTGGACATTTAGCCTGGAAGCAGTCTCTGCAGGGCAAGGCCCTTTGAAACCTTATTCTTGCTTCTGCCCAGGTGGGAGAACGCCAGACAGCAGGTCCAGTCAAGTTACACTTTCCAGGGATCTGGTTGCCTTGCTGTTTTTCTATTAAGGTTGTGCAGAATTGCCATTTCGGGCAGAGCTGGAGCAATTCACACCTATTAGAAAATGAGTGAAAAAGTTAGGACAATTTTTAAACTGAAGCCAAATCCAAATAAGGAAAGTCATTATTATAAAAGATATAAATCTCACCCCAAGCAAAAACAACAAAAAATCATAGTATTGTGGTTAGTTCTGTGGCTTTTATTGCCAGTGAAGATCTCAATGGTGTTGAGCTTTTTGAAATGTTGAGCATAAATTCTGGACCCTCTTGATGATCGTGGGGTTCAGAAGCTGTGCCTATTAATCATGACTTAGGCCAACAGCCTCTTGTATACAAGGTTTTTCTTAACACAGAAAGAAAGACATCTACTCTCATAGGGCTTTTCATTCCAGCTCTCAGTGCATTTAATAGTTGGTGGCCCGCAGTGGCCTGGTCTTTAGGTAGAGAGACAAGGAAGTGTCTTTACAGTTGGTCAAACACTGGATTGGGAGTTATTTCCACTAGTGCCTGCCATCTTTCCTTTTGATTTTTGTTACCTCATTTCCCCCAAATTCTAGAGCCTGGCTGCCTTCTCCTTGTCTTCTAGTAGATCATCAGAACAACCCCTTTTATAGCACTTTTCTCAGATTTTTTTTTTTTATGTGGTGAATCAGTGCCTTGGCATCCTCAGGTTATTCCAGATTATGTCAGATCGTTCATCTAATAAATGTCAGTGCACATCATGTGATAGCTCTGTGCCAGCTGCCATAACAAATGCAGAAAGGTGACCACATGTAGTTTCTATTTTCCAGGAGTTTCCAAATTTTAAAAAGAGACTTCTTTTTAAACCCCAGTAACTCATGTGGAACCACAAGTCACTCATATGATTTGGGCTCCCCTCCTGGCTTCAGGCTGGCTAATGAATCACTATGCTTATGCTCGGGGCTGTCTTTTCCTGCTGCTGGTCCCAGAAACAAGCAGTGAAGCCAGTGTTCCACACATATAGGTTTGTCAGATATGGGGGCTCAGCCAGGACCTGGGGCCAGGACCCCTCACCTCCCCAACCATCAACTCTGTGCTTCATTGCAGAAATGGCAGCGACGGTTCTTCATCCTTTATGAGCACGGCCTCTTGCGCTACGCCCTGGATGAGATGGTGAGTGTTCTCGCCTATTCCCTCTCCCTGGCCTTCATTGTTTCTCTGTTGTGGTGTCACAAGTGGCATAGTGTGTGGGTGATCAGGCTTCTGTTTGGGAATCTAGAGTGTTAAGAACTTGTGGCCCCATGGAAGATAGCTTTGAAAACCTAGACCCTGGTGAAAGCCTAGACTAGTGGTGGTGAATCTGTGGCACACATGTTGTTTTTCTTTTAAGACAAAAAAATGTTTATGAGTTTTTTTTCTAAATTCAGTGTTCAGGTTTAATTGCAGTGTTGGCACTTTGCAGTAAATAAGTGGGTTTTGGGTTGCAGTTTGAGCATTTGTCTCTGTAAGGTTCACCATCACTGGCTAGACCTTGGGTTTGAGAGTTGTCTTCTTCAGGGTTGTGGTGAGAGGGAGATGCTTCCGATCAAGGTTGATAAGAGTTTGGACTTAGGCCTTGGGGAAAGCAGGGGCAGAGTCCTCAATCTCAGCAAAGACTTGCTCAGGCTGTGGAACTGCAGACATGTAGGAAGCAGATGGCCTTGAATGCTCTTTTGAGAGCTACCTTCATAGCTGTAATTGGTTTGGGTTGCCCCTTTAATCTTTTTTTTTTCCCCCCTCCGGATACCAGGGACCAAACTCAGGACCTTGAGTTTGAAAAGCAGACACGGTGCCACTAAGATAAATCCCTGTCCCTGTCCTGTTTAATCCTGATGTGGATTTTCTTAGCTGACATTAGAGACCTCTAGTTCTGAGATCAGTGTTCATTTGATCATTGAATTAGAGACACACAGGTTCCTTCTTGCTCTGTCAGCTACCTGGTTTTCCACCTACCTCCTGGGCTGGATGAATATTGGCTGCTCTTGTTCCCCAGCCCAACATGGTAAAAAGTATTCTGGCTTTTTTCTCCTACCTATATCATCTTCTGCCTTTTTCTGTAAAGGAAATTCCTCTGCCTTCACTAAAGTATGACTGCATTTATAACACCTTGGAGATAGAAGCTTTGACTGCCATGTCCAGGACCATCTGAGTGAGTGAATGTGTGTATGTTCGTGCACGTAGTGGGCACCATTTGAAAACTAGGACTACCCTGAAAGACCCAGTCACACCATGTTAAACTGGCTGACTCCACCTGTCCCACACAGAGGTTGTTTCTTTTCCGTAGTGGTAAGAGACTTCAGGAGTGTGAGTAGAGATGATGAGTGTTCCAAGGACTTTCTTGGACGTTGGGACACTATAATTTTGTTACAGTCATTATAGCTCACATGTGCAAAGGCTATAAGTAGGCTCATTTACTCACTTGAATCTTGTTTTCTCTGATGTGATACTTTTTCTGCTTTTGTTCCTAGAACCATTAAAAGGTCTTGTCATTCTTTTTGGTGAAGATAGTATTTGTGCAGTGTGAATAGACTGGAAAGTGTTTTGCTGTGGAGCCGTTTGTGGTCCAGAGTAGTTTGAAGGGAATGGATTGGAGGTGAGTGCTGATGAGTGGTGACCTTGTTAGGGTCAGGAACAGGTGGACCATGCCCACAGACACTCTTCTCCATGAGGCAGGAGGTGGGGCTATAAGATATAGGCAGGCCTGTGACATCCTCCAGGCCTGGCTGTCATGTGGGCAGCAGCACTGGGGTCAGGGTTCCTGCAGGCTTTGAGGTTTACCATGACTTCCCTGTACATGGCTGACTTGTAATTAAGTCCCACAACTGACTGAGAGAGTAGAAGGAGCCTATGGAAGTTACCAGATGACAGTCACACTGAGCTGGGGCTATGTACCCTTCTGAAGAACAGCTCCTTGGACTTCTTCTGGTGACTGATCATAGCAATCAGTAAATCTTTCTTGAAAGTCCAGCAAAACCCATTATTTCCTTTGGCTCAGGTGTATAAGCACAGTAAAGTAGCTACTGGGCTGCCTCTGTCAGTACAGACATAAAGTGTATGCTGTCCCACGTACCACTCCTCAGTAAGCTAGGCCATCGAGCCAGATGTTCCAACTCTTGTGGTCCACAATAGTTTCCCAGTAACCTAGATCTGGACTGATAGTGTTTCATGTGGTACTTGGGCAAAGATGGCCTTGTGGCAGAATGTGGAGAAAGAAAGAAACCCCGGGAGAGATTTGTCCTAAAGAGTGGATGTTTGGGAAATGCCCAAAGCTGAAAGCTTTTGAGCATGAGCCACTTTCTGGCAGATGACTTTGGAGCTAGAAGACTGATGGGGCAGCGGTTAAAGCTGTTCTGCTCAGAACATGGATGGTGCATGTATGCAGCACCTCTCAGGATAAAATATTGTTACTTCTGTGAGTGAAAAAAAGATTATGCTAGTTGTGTTGAAATGCCTGTAAGTGTGACCTCCACCTTCTAAGGCTTTTCCATATTATTATCAGGAAGATCACATGAGGACTTACAAGGAGGTGCTTAGGATGGAGGCCAGGTGGGAGGAGGCAGTCTAGATGGAGGTCGACAAGAAGAAGCATGGAGGCTCTTCTTATATATATTGAAGAGGCCTGTTCCATGCCTACCTAGTGGTCTGCACTGGGGTTTGTCCTTCATGGCTGTTCCCCAGGAAGAGTAGTACGGAGCCTAGGAGCTCCAACTCCAAGTTCAGCCATCTTGCTCCTTCTGGGTCAGCAGGGTCAGCAGGAGAGTATCTGTTGTCAGGCTTATGTGGACTAAATTCTAGACACTCTGGAAGCCTTCCTCTGTGAGTGCCTAGAACACAGTGGTCCTTGGCAGAGGCAGTGTGTTTCAGGTTCTGGTGAATGCTACTGCCTAAGAGGGTGGAGGCCAGGGATGACTCCCATCATAAAGAAGGTATTGACCCAAAATGTTTTCAGTGCCTAGATTTGAGGAAGCCTGAGTGATTTAGTCAGTGGTTTTTAAACTTTTAATTTATTTTTAAAAATTAAAATGTAAGTTTGATTTGCTGATTAACTCTGTTCTTCAGCAGCATAAATTCACCTGTGATATTTCTTGGAGTGAGGGAATTGTGGTCTGCTGGTGGTTCAGGAAGTTCCAGTTGTGGAAAGAGTAGGCCTGTTCCTAGTCTGAGGGTCTCAATGGGCCCCCCTGTGCATCAGGCTACCCAAATGCTAGCAGAACTGCCTGTGTCTCTTGGCCAGGGAAGATGTATATAGTATGTCTCATAATGTGTTTGGACCACCACGCCTGCAGGGTAGCTCCATTTGAATGTTTGTCTCTAGAAGCACTAGACTGTAGTCCCTCTGGTACTCCTGGTCCTGCTAGGCTTAGCTCCAGTCTGATCTATTGCACTCTTAAACTGTAGTGTTTTGTGGCTGGTCTGTTCCTATAACATATAGTCACAATCTGTTCTGAATAGCTCTTTGACTTTTATTCAATATTACTATCTGTTTTCATTTGTGTAAATGTTATTTTACCATATAGACTATTACCACTCCCCATTGTTGGACCCTTGATAATGTTGGTATCTTTCTGCATTGTCTGGCATGGGGTTTGGGCATACCAGACCTGGTAAATATTTGTGGAGTTGAGCTCCACAGCTTTGTGGTGCATTGCTGCAGAATTTCTGCTCTCTGTTTGAGGTGGGCGGAATTGGGTGGAAAAGAAAAGAAGGTAAGATGAGGGATGATCCTAGTACAGTGTGATAACTCTAAAGTGGTTGCTCCACAGAAGAGAAGAACACCCTCCAGAGAGCTCTGAAGAATGTTGAGGAGAAAGGTTATCTCAGTTTCTCTGGGCTGAGACCTGGAGAGGTAGATAGGTATCTGGGGGTTGCAGTACAGTAGCAGTAGGGCAGCAGTCCCACTTCTGACAAGGCTGCTTTGAGAAGCTCTTTCTGCTTAGGGACCTTGGCTGGATAGGGCAGGCAGGCTGACTGCTGCCTTTCTGGGAAGCTCCGAGATGGGACTCACTTTTGGGAATCTCTTTTCCTTATTTGGGAAACCTCTTTCTCGATACACCCACATAGCCTGTAATTGGTGGGTGTGGAGAAGTGGCAGATTTCCCAAAAAAGGAAAGGAAACTTCCCCAATCCTGCCGAGGTGAGGTGGGCTCAGAGTGGCCTCACAGACAAGTAGCAGCCTGAGAAATTTGCCTGGGCCTCCTATTTTTCTGGAGTGGCTCAAGTGAAGAGTCTCAGCTTGTTTATGCCCCCAGTGAAGGTTGCCCATGACTACCAGTTTCTTCTGCTTTTCCCAGCATTCTTGGAGACAGATAAAAATATCTAAGGTGCTAGTGATGTCTGTTCTGAGCCTCCAGAGCTCCACTGTGGGCCTGTTCTCTTCCTTTTCCCTCCTGGAAATGAGGCAAAAAGATGACCTAATTTGTTTTTGATTGTGATAAAATACATGTAGCATTAAATTTACCATCTTAGCCATTTTTAAGAACACGGTTCAGCAGAGCATGGTGATACACACCTGTAACCCCAACACTTGGGAGGCTCAGGCAGGAGGATCACCTTGAGTTCAAGGCCAGCCTGAACTCCACAGTATGACACTATCTCCAAAACAACACAGTTCAGTGGCATCTCATTGTTTTTGGTTTCTCATTGAGTTTATTGGTATACTTTAGGTATACAGTACAGTTACATTCATTATTGGGATCTTGTACCTTTACATGACAGGTCTTGGTTCTCATTTTTTTCCCCTTGTCCCTGCCCTCCCTTCACCCCTTCCTCCCTTCCTACCTTTCCCCTACCCTTCCCACTTTCCCTACACATTTAGCCCTTTTCTTCCTATGTCACATTGTCATCTTAGGCATCTCATTGTTAATGTAGCAGTCACCATCATCTGTCTCAAGGGTTCTTTGGTTATCCCAGACTCCATACTTACTAAACACTGACTCCTTCCCCCAGCCCAGGCAACCACCATTCTGCATTCTGTTTCTATGAATCTTGACTCCTAGGAGCCTCTTACAGTTTGGGTGCCCCTTATCAGAAATCCTTGGGCAGGCAAGTTTCAAATTTTGGATTTTTTTTTAAATTTTGGAATATTTATATGATGAGATATTTTGGGGGTAGGACCCATACCTAAAAGGGAATTT